GATATGACCATAAGTAGCATTTTGTCACAGTGAAATCAGTCTTTAAAGTGGAAAATATGAGACCAGCAGTCCTTAAATGAAGCAAGGAAGAATCGGAACCAGCAAACAATTCATCTGTTTGTTGATCATAGAATAAGATGAGTAGATTTTTAAGACAATTAGCCCCTTTTGTCTAGGTCCTGTTTATATCTGTGCTGTTTCCTCTCTCATAAAATCAACACGTGTTTAGTATTAATCCCTAACAGAAAGCATATTTACAAAACAATGCCTTACTTACATTTGAGAGCAAGAACAAATTGTTCCTCAAATCAGGGCACCAACAAAAGGACAGCAAAGGTGAAGACATGCTTAGCACAGTACTTCCTGCCTAATGCTACTTCTTTACCCCCTTTTAGGCAAATGAGCAACTCAGAATACAGAGCGCCCCCTAATGATTGGTATAGCTATAACATGCAAAGAACTACTGGAAACAAATGTGACAGTAAAACTGTTACACACCCCTCCCTCTAAAAGAAAAGAGTTAGATGGTCCCATAAAACTTCTTTAGCTTTTCAACATGGTAAGTATCACATTGACTCGGGTTGTCAAGCATTACCACTTTGTAATTGACATTATTCACCCTTTTCATAATTTTTGCAGGACCTTGCCATCTTGGGGCTAACTTGGCCATGAAAAAATCTGCAGCGCGAGATAGAGGGTGAGTGAGGATCCAAACCAGATCTCCTTCCACGAAGGACTCAGGCTTCCTACGTTTATTGTAGTATCTGCCTTGTCTCTCTTGGGCTTGGCTGGTCTTCTCCCTCACTTGGTCAAGAAGAGCTTTTTGTCTTTCAACAGTGCTGTAGGCCCCATGGTCAGGATTGGGAGGTTTGCGGATCAATCGCTCAAGTGGACCCTTTAGCTTGCGTCCTAATGCAATCTCAGCTGGAGTGAGACCAGTACTTTCTTGCCATGCTGAATTAATGGCATACCGGAATTCTGGTATCCACTTGTCCCAATCACGGTGGTTGTCACGAACGTATGATGATATCATTGTTTTTAAGGTCCTGTTGATCCTCTCAGTTAAGTTGGTCTGTGGATGATATGCTGTACTGAGTTTTTGAACTACACCCCATCGCTTGCAGGTATCATTGAGTAACTGGGCAGTGAACTGAGGGCCGCGGTCTGAGACCAGGTATGCTGGGGCTCCCCATCGAGTGAACATTTATTTCGCCAGAATGTTGGTTATTAGGTGAGTTTTTGCAGACCGTAGAGCAAAGAGTTCTACCCACTTGCTGCAATAATCCACAGAGACTAATAAGAATTAATTGGATCTGGGACTTCTTGGGAAAGGACCCATCAGGTCTACTCCAAACATATGGCCAGGCTCCACTACTGGGATTGACTGCAGCAGTCCAGATAGCTTTGAGATTCTCAGTTTGTAGGCTTGACACATCTTACACTGGGTGCAAAAACTCCAAACGTCTTTACGAATCTCAGGCCAATAGACATTGTCAAGTAGTCTTCTTAAGGTTTTCATTCTCCCCAAATGTCCACTCAGTGGGTTCGAATGAGCAAAATGCAAAAATGTTTCCCTAAGTGATGCAGGTATGACTAGTTGATGAGTGTATCCTTGGTGCTTGTCAGGCACACTGCGAAACAGGTAGTCATTCTGTATGATGTAAGCGATGCGGTTAGAATCTTTGGTAGGTTGTTTAGCTAACTCCCATAGAGCCTGCAAAGAAGAATCAAGCTTTTGGGCTTTCTCAATTTCATCCCAACTGACAGTCAAATTAGGGTCTGGTTTTGTAGGCTGACATAGGGCAATGTGGCTTACCAGCTTTTACACAGTTACTCCTCTAGATAGGGCACCAGGCACCACATTACATGATCCTTTCCCGTACTTTACCACAAATCTGAAACCCTGCAGTCTTAAAGCCCACCTGGTCAAGCGTATGGATGGTTTAGGGTGATTAAATACCCAAGCCAGTGCAGAATGGTCTGTGAGTACTTCAAAGTTCCTTCCCTCCAAGTACTGCCTCCACTTTTCCACGGCCCACACTACTGCAAGACATTCCTTCTCTGCGGTAGAGTATGACTTCTCTGCTCCATGCAGAAGTCGCGAAGCGTAGGCAATGACATGTTCCGCCCCATCAAAATCCTGTGTCAATACAGCTCCTAATCCTATATCGCTGGCATCTGTTTGTACTCTGAAATCATTGGTGAAATCAGGAGGCATTAAAACTGGTGCTCGTTGTAGGGCGATCATCAAAAGCACTTTGACATTCAACTGTCCAATTCCAAGTTGCATTCTTAGCCTTTAGTGCATATAAAGGGGCTGCTCGCTCGGAGAAGTGGAAGATGAAACGGTGATACCAACTTGCAAGACCTAAAAACCTTTGTACCTCTTTGAGATTCTTGGGTACGGAGAACTCTTGAACAGCCTTGACTTTAGAAGTTTTGGTACGGACCCCTTCTTCAGAAACAACATGTCCTAGATATGTGATGGTTTTTTGCAGTATAGAACATTTCTTGAGGTTGAGTGTCAATCCTGAGACTTCCAGGTTTGCAAAGTTGTTTGAGATGTTGAAAGTGGTCTTGGACTGTTTTAGAATAGATCACTATGTCATCAAGGTATACTAAGCTGAACTTCCCTACGTAGTCTCTCAGAATGTTTTTCATAAGCATTTGAAAGGTTACAGCAGTGTTTTTGAGGCCAAAGGGAAGACGAACAAATTCATACTGGGCATTTTTGGTGACAAAAGCGGTCTTTTGGATACTGCCCTCATCCATTCCTACCTACCAGTAACCAGACTTACGGTCTAATGTGCTGAATATGGTCGCTCCATACAAGGACTCTAGGATATCTTGAATCTGTGGCATTGGAAATCCATCCAGAGGAGTCTTGGAGTTCAGTGCTTGATAATCAACACAAAAGCGGGTACTGCCATCTTTCTTGGGTACTAAAACGACTGGTGCTCCCCAAGGGGAAACAGAAGGTCTTATGATGTTTTTGTCCAGCATGCTTGCTATCTCCTCATCAATGAACTTCTGTCTGTTGACAGAAACAGGATATGCTTTTCTACACACAGGAAACTCATCGATAGTATTGATTCGATGGCAAATTAAGTTGGTTTGTCCCAAAGTGTCAGTGCATACAGTTGGCCAGTCAAGCATCAGTCCTTCTAACTGACGTTTCTGTGCTTTAGAAGCATCAGCTTGATCCACTAACTCCTTTATGGTGGTTAGAGTAGTAGAAGCCGTTGGCACTAAAGGTAGTGCAAGGTGCAAACTGACTGTTGGTGAAGGTGAAGAAGTTGTGAAATAGTGGACTACATCACATTCTTCAGGCAATGAATATGTGGAATTTCTAAAATCAACGATGATTCCTGATGTCCTCAGAAACTCAAGTCCTAATACGACTGAAAAGGCCATGTCGCAGTCCCTCATCACATACACTCTTAGAGGATAGTTGTGGCCATGAATAGTACCCCACCAAACTATCTTCCCCAAGGCTGACTGTACATACCCGTTAGCAAGGGAAAATGACTGTCCTCTGCTTGACTGCAAAGCTTCATGTTTCGACTTCAACTGTTGCCAGCACTAATGAATAAGTGCTCCCAGTATCCAGGATTGCTTGATATTGACGGCCTTTGATGGTTATGGGCAACTTTAATGTCATTAAGGGCTCTCCGCTGTTCTCTAAACAAACAGCTGTGTGTGGATTGGGCTGTCGTCCTTTTGTGAATTTTCCAGTTTCAGTAGGCTTTGAGTTTTGATCTTGGTGCCTCTGCCTCCAGAAGTCTCTCTCTTCACTGATATATCTTTCTATAAGGGTTCCTACCCGTACCACATCATCTACAGTAGTTACAGTACCTCTTAAAATACTGGCAATTCTTGGATTGCAGTTTCGGAGAGAGACACACATTCATATCAACAAGTCCAAACATTAGCATATAGAGTCTTCCAGAGTTGAGGAAACATCAATTAAGTCCACCAAGTCCATCAGTTCATAGATATGACCATAAGTAGCATTTTGTCACAGTGAAATCAGTCTTTAAAGTGGAAAATATGAGACCAGCAGTCCTTAAATGAAGCAAGGAAGAATCAGAACCAGCAAACAATTCATCCGTTTGTTGATCATAGAATAAGATGAGTAGATGTTTGGATGAAGACAATTAGCCCCTTTTGTCTAGGACCTGTTTATATCTGTGCCGTTTCCTCTCTCATACAAGAACCCTCTGCATTTAAACAAACATACAATCAACACGTGTTTAGTATTAACCCCTAACAGAAAGCATATTTACAAACTCTACATGCATACAAAACAATGCCTTACATTTGAGAGCAAGAACAAATTGTTCCTCAACTCAGGGCACCAACAAAGGACAGCAAAGGTGAAGTCATTCCATATGCTTAGCACTCTGCTTCCTGCCTAATGCTACTTCTTTACCCCCTTTTAGGCAAATGAGCAACTCAGAATACAGAGCGCCCCCTAATGATTGGTATAACTATAACATGCAAAGAACTACTGGGAACAAATGTGACAGTAAAACTGTTACAAACTTGCATTAATTTTACATGGCTTTCAAAAAATGTGGCTTCTTTTGTGCGAGACGGGAGTGCAACGGTGATAGATGTCCCTCTAGAAAATGCGCGAAATATGCATTCTGTGTGAATGGCTTGGTTTCAGTTTTGATGTAAACAAGATCTTCTCCGCATTGATGTTCTCTTTTCCCGCAATATTTGTAATTAACAACACAGCAGCGCTGCATCTAGTGGCTTCAACTAGATAGGCTAACAAGATCATTAAAATGCAATGACACTTACTTCGTCATCGCATCTCGTGTGCCATTGATAAGGATTAGCTCAGTTATGTCCTTTTTAATGCAAATATGACATTATTTGACCTAACCCTACCCCTAACCGTAGCCCATAACAAAGACATCTCAAACAATGTCATCTTTGCATTAAAAATTACATAACTGAGCGAATGACACTTAATGACAGTTGTCATAAACATGCATAAAACCTCCTTCATATTCATGACGTGTGTCATGTCATGATTATGAAGGTGTCATGTCAGTCTTATGCACACCCCTTCAAGTAAAGTGTTACCAATTTTTTGACAGCCCTACAGCACTGTGCTCATAAACGCTACTTTATAAAATGAAAATGCCATTGAAACTTTTCTGAAGACAGTCCGTTCTTTTCAGAGATACATTCATATAAAAACAACTGGGCCACATCATTGCTTGAATTAAGAATGAGAAAAGTGTGAAAAATATATATAGCCTATATCGTTGAAAATGTACTAGAAAACTCCACTGATGATTACCAGCCTATGCGACGGCCCCGGCCCAATTTAACCCCTGATCGCACCAGTATGAAGGCATTTTAATGTTTAAGATTTATAAAATGTATATATAATTTTGATACCAAGGTAAAAAACTATACTAGGCTAACTAAGGTCTAGTATTATTCAGGTAGAACCTGCAAAAGAAACTGCATAAATTAATCAAATGTAAAATAACACTGCACAGTCTTCACTGTAAATTGATGGATTAATGTTTATTAAAGCTACTAAAGTCATTCAGTCAAGAGCAGAGAGAGATGTTTTTCTTTTTCTTTAGTATTTGATTAACAGTAGTGACAACTGAACATTACATAAACTTTATATAAATCTTTTAAGAAAACACAATGACATTTATATCACTAAGAAAACAATATTCAAGAATACAACTTTTTGACATTGTTCTTTGGGGCGAAAACCCCGGAGTTTTTGGGCATAAAAACTCAATTTTTGTGTTGATCTCAATCTCACAGTTTTGCTGGTTTTGAAGATGAAGATTAACTTTATTCACTGTGAAAACTTTAGATAATGTTTCTATATGTAATCTATATCACTTGTAATGGCTGGTGAGGACAGATTTATCCAGATTATATTTTATTGCATGGCATTTGTTAAGGACACAGCATCAGATCTGAAAGTGCTGGATCTGAAGATGATCTACTTACTGTGATAGTTTTTTGTATGACTGTGTAGAGAAGATGAACGACTGAAACACTTCCCACATGCAGTGCAGTGATAAGGTTTCTCTCCAGTGTGAATCCTCTCATGTGTTTTCAGATGTGTTAACTGACTGAATCTTTTGTCACAGTGTGAACACTTGTAGGGTTTCTCTCCAGTGTGGATCCTCTCATGTGTTTTCAGATGTCCTGAATCACTGAATCTCTTGTCGCACTGTGAACATTTGTAAGGTTTCTCTCCAGTGTGAATCCTCTCATGCAGTTTTAAACAGTTTGCTGTAGTAAAAGTTTTTTCACACTCAAAGCACATGTACTCTCTCACAGCAGTATGTATTTTCTGATGTTCTTTTAAACTTTGTAAATGTGAAAATCTCTTTCCACACAAATGACATGAATGTGGCTTCTCCTTTGTATGAACTTTCAGGTGTTTCTTCAGAACTGAAGCCCTCAAAAATATTTTGCCGCACTGATCGCATGCATGCAGCTTCTCTCTAGTGTGGATGTTCATGTGATCCTTAAGGTTTGATGACTGTGTGAAACTCTTCCCACATAGATCACAAGTGAATGGTTTCTCTCCGGTATGAACTCTCATATGCCCCTTAAAGTTTCCTTTTCGTGTGAAACTCTTCCCGCATTGATCACAAGTGTACGGTTTCTCTCCAGTGTGGATGTTCATGTGTTTCTTAAGGTCTGCAGATTGTGTGAAACTCTTCCCACACTGATCACAAGTGAATGGCTTCTCTCTAGTATGAACTCTCATGTGTTTTGTAAGGTTTCCTTTTTGTGTGAAGCTCTTCCCGCACTGATCACATGTATATGGTTTCTCTCCTGAATGAACTCTCATGTGAACATCAAGACAATTTTTGTATGTGAAACTCTTTCCACACTGAGTGCAGGTGAAGCCTTTATTGGCTCTTCTTTTCTTTAAAAGTTTCAGTTTGATTTTAGAGCAACTCAAAGGTTTTTCTCTAGTTTTGACATGATTTTTCTCCTCAACTTCACTTGATTCTTCATTCTCCTCACTTTCTTCTATAAACGCTTAAATAAAAGCAGAAACAGTTAATTTGTCTGTAACTTGAAAAACAAACAAAAACTTTAAAAAAATTAAATAATAATAATAATAATAATAATAATACACACACACAGAAATGTGAAAGCACATAAAATTGAACCCTGGTGTAACAGTGTAAAGGGAATTTATATACAAAATGTTGTTCCTTTTGATGCAATTTTATAAATTACACATCCCTGAAACTTTTCATGAATCATTTTTTAGATCTTATAGACACAAATCCTATGTTTCCATAAAGAGAACTATTAAATATGTTTGATCAACTACAAACTTATCTAAAATACATTTTGTTGAAAAAAAGTCCTTTATTATTTGCTGCTCCATCTATATTATTCAGCCGCTCTAATGATTGTTTCAATTACAACAAACTAAATCTAAAACTGCTTGGAAATTTTATAACTGTCAGTATTATTACAGCTTTATAAGCCTAATGTACCACAAACAGTCATTAAAGATGAATGAAGAATAAACACCAACCTCCTTGTTCCTGTTTTATTCTGCAGGGTTCTGGTTCCTCGTGTTTTATTCTGCAGGGTTCTGGTTCCTCGTGTTTTATTCTGCAGGGTTCTGGTTCCTCGTGTTTTATTCTGCAGGGTTCTGGTTCCTCGTGTTTTATTCTCCAGGTTTCTGGTTCCTCGTGTTTTATTCTCCAGGTTTCTGGTTCACTGGTGTTCTCCTCTCTCTCCTCTTTAACAAACACCATCTTCACAGCAGCAGACCTCAGTTCAGATGATAGTCCTCCAGATATTCCTGCTTGCTTCAAAACTTAGTCACAACTATGAGGATGAGAATATTACAGGTATTTACTGATATGATTCAAAAACTGTATTTTTCTTACAGAAACAACATTTCTAACAGTTTGTATTAAACCAGCATCAAGACAAAACAATAGAGAGCGGAGTGAAACTGACCTTCTTACTCTGATGTTTGACAAACATGTATGTGTTTAGCGCCACCCGATGGACTGGAGTGAGAAGCGGCGAGAGGAGGGAAATAATACGGAGGAAATTACTCAGTGCGTCTATAAAGTGAGCTGATTTTTTTTTCTTAAAAAAAGCCAATCTGCACAAATAAATGAAAAGGAATTAAGATTATAGACTCGCTTGGTATTTGATCAGCATCAACAGTCTTCGTGAATGAGGATTAGAGGAGAAAAACGAGCAAATTATTAGTCAAATATATTTCATTGACGGTGCATTATGTAAATATGGAAATTAAGATAAATGAAAACACATGACAATGATAAGATGTAGCCTAATTAAAAATAATAGTAATAAAATAAAAAACTAAATCTAAAATATTGATCAGGTTTAGCATGGTGGAAAAACAACATCCTTGGGTTATGTGTCAGTCTAAATATCTGGGACTTAAGACACAACCAACTATGTTTACAAGGATATTTTGATAAAGGATATTTGTCCTTTCAAATTCAAAAAGTCACACCCACATAGCAATTGTTTTCTGACCCAGCTCCGGTCCACACAACCGCTTTTCCCTCGGCCCACATACCGCAAAGAATGACGGCCCTGAATCTGAATTAAAGACAAGGGCCTCACAAGTCTCAGCCATTTAAAGGGGTCATATGATGCGATTTAAATTGTTCCTTTCTCTTTGGAGTGTTACAAGCTCTTCGTGCATAAAGAAGATCTGTAAAGTTGCAAAGACTAAAGTCTGAAATCCAAAGAGATATTCTTTATAAAAGTTAAGAGTCAGCCACACCTACCTAAAACTGCTCGTTCTAACACGCCCCCACATATCTACGTCACGATGTGGGAAGATTTGCATAACGCCGCCCAAATGTTCACGCAAAGAAAGATGGTGTAACTTTTATTCTCGCTGTAGTATTGTTGCTGCCGCCGCCATGTCGTGAAGGCGCTGTGTGCTTCGTGGTGAAAGCGAAAACTACTTTGTTTGGCCTTCCAGAAGAGGACGATATCCGCTTCGTCATGCCTGGAGCTGATCCGTGCTGGTCGCTGAGGAAATACAATTCTTCGTCAAATCCGCCGGCCGCGCCGTTCTCAAGCCCGCCCGCTGCCACTCACTCTAGCCCACTGTGTGTTTCGTTGTGAAAGCTAAACTACTTTGTTTGGCCTTCCAAAAGAGGACACGACTAGAAATCAGTGGTTAAGTTGTATTTACAACACTGTTCCAGAACACTTCAACCCAAATATTCAGATGTGTCCAGCGCATTTTATGGAGGACTGTTTCCTGATCCTGGAAGAGTAGACTACAATGCCGGCTGTTCTGACTCACAGACTGTAAGTACGTTTTTTATATTTAAAGAATTTGCCACTGACGATTCAAACGCAAGTTTTGGGCAGTGTAGAGTAGCGTTTGTTAGTCATTTCTCTGATCACAAATGCAGACATGGTTTTATGTTTACGCGGCGCGATGCAACGCAACGCTTAAATAGAATAAGTCATTATATTTCGTAATTATGTCCCCACTGGATGCGACAAATGCCTCGTTTATAATGGGTTTTAATGTTTATGTCTCGTCGCTCCGGC